ACAGACCCCTTAGACCAGCTCTACAACCCCCAGACACCCCTAACTCCAATCTGCACCCCCTGAGACCCCCCCCCAATTCCGCACCTCCATAGGGACCTCCAACCCCAAGCTGCGCCCCACAAGGAACCCTTTACCTTAATCCTGTACCCCACAGGAGCCACTTACACCAATTCTCCACCCCATAGAGACCCCCCACCCCGACCCGCTGCCCACCCGGGGACCCCCGCACTCACGCTGCCCCCCGGGACACCGGTGCGGTCCCAGACGAGGGTAAGCTCGCTGCTCTGCCCGCTGCCCGAGCTGTTGAAGTGTCCCTCCACCTGCACCGCGTACTTGTTGCCCCGCTCGGGTGCCCCAAAAAGCCGCTCAGGGCGCGGACGCTGCAGGGGACGCGTCTCCCGTTCCTGCTGCACTGACCAGCGACCCACCTCCTCCTGCAAGGGGGGACCCCAAAACCCCGGGGGGACCCTGAGCCTTGCTGGGACCCCTGGCACAGCATGGCACCCCACCTCCTCCTGCAAGGGGGGACCCCAAAACCCCAGGAGGACCCTTAGCCTTGCTGGGACCCCCGGCACAGCATGGCACCCCACCTCCTCCTGCAAGGGGGGGCAAGGGAGACCCTAAAGCCATGGGGAGGTCCCCAAACTCCCCCAGACCCTATTATCCTACCTCTTCCCGCATGGGCATGACCCCACAACCCCCCCAGGACCCCTCCCAAACCCCATTATCACCCCTCCTCCCGCAAGGAGGGAGCCCGAACCCCCTGGACGCCCCCCGCCGCAACCCGTTACCAGCTCGGGGGAGTTGGGGTGCCGTCCAAGGCGGGCAACGACATAGAGGCGCTGTATGCGAGCCCAAACGCTGGGGCCAGGGCCGGGGACGAGGGGGGGTCCCAGCAGCGGGTAGATGAAGCCCCGGTAAACAAGGGAGACGTCAGTGTCGCCGCTGGGGCTGAGCGTGATGGTGGTGCTGCGGACGATGGAGACCTGGGGGTGGGGGGGGCGGCTGCCACCAGGACCCCCCGCCTGGACCCGGGGGACCCTCGGGGAGGGTGGGGGGCACGGGGCACCCACCTTGTCAGGCTGGGAATCGTTGCGGGGCTGCTGGTAGGTGACGAGGTGGAGGCCAGGGAGGAAATTAGCGGTGCGGCAGTGCTGCAGCGCGGTGACGAAGACGGGGCGCGCCCCCCCCCAGCCGTAGGTCCCCGAGATCTGCCCCACGCGGCAGCGGCTCTGCTCTGGGCAGGGGGACACCGTGGTGGGGGGGGGG